CACTATAAGTACCATTTTAAAAAAAATTATGGAGCAACCTACGTATTGTACTTGATTTATTTTATATATATTTTGCGTTGATTTTTCTTTCATTACTTTTTTTTGTTATACGTGTGGTCGTGGTGCCGGTTGTGGGATTGCAATCATTTCGTTTTGTTCTTCTACTGTACTTGTACACTTTTTGTAAAGAATGCAACCCACAATGGTGAACACTATTATGTTAAATGCAAATAGACAAATTACTGCAATAATAGCAAAGATACTTTCATGATGAACTTCTGTTTTTAAAACCTGAATATCACTTTTTATCTGAGCGTCTTGATTCGGTTTGAACAAAAAATTAGAAACACTAGAACCTACAAAAGCAATTGTGGTCAAAATCAGAGTAGCAACTCCCGCGATTACGAACATTTTTTTTGGTTTTTTAATTTATTTTTTTTTCTAATTTCATCACTTATTTATTTTTTAATTGTTATTCTTTATTTTGTGCCTGTTCGTTTGCTTAAAAACTCGCCATGTAAAATATGTACTGCTTTTATGGTCACGGTACAGTTAGAAGGAATAGTATAAATACGTTCATTTTTAATGATTTTTTAACAGTTTTCATCAACTTAACCAGTAACACCGCCGCACAAAGCTCTAATTTTGGAATGGTCAAATTTTTGATTTCGTCACCGTTGTAAACTTTCATATATATATTAACACCCATGGCCGATCCACTAGCATCAGAAAAACCAAGTAATTCGATTTTTGAATGTGGATGACATTGCAGCCATCGCCTCGGCTTTATTTTATCAATTGCAGAAATTTGCTTTTTGAAAGCATTCCATTTTTTTGCTATTTTTTCATTTACTTGCTCGTCCCAATCCAATTTTTCCTTCCAGATATCTTGCATTAATATCTTGTTATATACCGAAAAGGGAGTTAGCAAACCCAATGGATCAAAAATGGTCGCTATCTGTGATAGTATTAATCGTTTTGTTAGTATGGTATCATTTTCGTTGATTTTTGTTTTGAAACCGAGCTTATCTGATTCAAAAAACCATCTAAGGCCCAATGCCAAAACATATTTATTATTTTTATATTCTTTAAACTGCTTTTCTCTTTGCTCTTCTGGAATTGTGTTTAATAATTCTTCACTATTTGTAACCCACTTTCTAAGCGGAAAACCGCTACATCCAAAACATGAGTAATTTCTTGCCGTAATTTAATCAGAGGTGCGCACGCATTTTTTTTTTGGGGGGGGATAGCTGTCAATTTTCGGATTTTTGGAAGGGGGGGGGGTCAAGAAAATAAACAATTCTTGGGGGGGGGTCAATCCGGATTTCAATTTTTTTTTATTGCAAATTGAATTGAATGTACTTCAATGTAAGAATGTTTGAAATATGTAAGAATTTGTATTTTTATTCATTTATTGAATCATCATGAACACAGATTGACAGATCAATTATTGGATCTTCTTCCGAAATTCTGAAAGAAATAAAAAATTAGATAAATGTGTGATAGGTGTTATAGTAAATTAATTTTACATTAGGGATCCCGTTGATGGTTGCATTTAAAGTGAATTTTTTTGTCCCTTCTTCTTTTCGCAACGTGATTGTTCCATTTTTCGAAATATTCGCTTCAGCTGTTGGTGCACTACTTACACAAGTACTTTGACATTCGCCCATTTTGAGTCAACCGAATAAACTTTTATTGAAATTTGGAAATGAACTGATTTTTTTAAAGTAAAAATTATTCTTCAGTAGTACTACACCGGAACATATATCGATACATTAAAACTTAAATTGAATAATGAATGATCGAAAGAAAGTTCAGAATACCAACAGAATTTTATGTATACATTTTATCAAAAAAGTCTTAGTAAGACTGTCTCACTGTGTTTAGTCTTCAATTTTGCATATTATGATTAAAACCTGAATTAAATATTTGAATGTTTATTCTTTCAATTTTGCTTATTCATACAAACCGATATAAACAGCGGAGTTTGCATTGGAACTGAAATTTTCAGTCTGAAAATGGTCGAAATGAAATTAAAAACGATATGATTTTTTTTTATTTTATTTAATTAAACGATTTGATTACAGGTTACATAGGAAAAATTGTGCTTTTTGCATTTCTATATTTAGACTAATTTTTATTTGTTTTAAGTAGAACCGAAATTTATAACAAGTTTCTTTTAAAAAAGCGTACTTTTGTAAAGATACTTCTTTTTGCTTAAAATATTTTCCTCTTCTATTAGATTTGAATCGACTTTTTTATCATGTTTTATACTGATTTGGTAATCGCTTGGATAATGTCCGTTTTTTATCCAATTTTTGGCATACTTCGCTGCGGCGAAGTAGCTCAAGTCATCAGGTCCATTCAATTTTATACGCATAATAGCGTCCAAATTAATGGGGGTTAATCGAACCCTGTGAGCGTCGCGAATATATTTTAGAGCAGAAAATCCTCTCTCGGCTTCTGCACTGCTTATCGGGATTGATAAGCAAGTGAACAGAAGCCGTCGGATATTGCTGCCCCATTTTATTTCTTTCCATTTAAGCAATTGGGACCAGAAAGCGAATGTGGTTGTTTGGCCATTTTTAATCTGACAATAGTTTGGGCTTTCTATAATTGATTGCAACAACGAAGACCATTCATCAACAACCACGTCCGGATTGCCGATTTGAAAATATTCGCTGAGCTCTTTTATTCTTGTTGTACCATACATTCTAGCTGAAGCATAGTCTTTCGGCAGTGGCATATTATTTGGATCAAAGCATCGAACATTTTCAAATCACCGTCCGGAAAATATGACTTGAATTCATTTAGTAAATTATCTAAAATCAAAGTTCTGTATTCGTTTACTTCTGGGATTTCATCTTTGTCATCATTTAAAACAAAATTCTTATACGTTATTTTATCACTTTGTAGATATTTTGACACTGTAAAACATCGGTCAATATCATTTGTGTCTGCGTTTTCGCACCGCGCTTCCTTTAAAAATGCTTTTAGATATCGACCATCTTCTGTTTTGAGTTTTGTAAATATACTTTCAAATTTGGATTTAAATGAAGAAAAATCTATTATAAGCGCGGTTCTTTTTTGCATTTCAAGAGAGAGAACAGACAGCTCATTCACAATATCAAAAAAAAAGTGAAATAATAATAAAAAGTATTTTCCAAGCAGTTTGGGTCTTAATAATCTAGCTTTTGTTCTTGTTTTTTTTATAAATGATCGATTCTCTACAATTTCACCTAAATCTTTTACAATCATATCCCACATAAAATTTAATGATTTCATCGCCCTGTAGTCGGACGCAATCCAACGAATTTCAATTATCTTACTCAGCGAATAAAATTTTTCTTTATTTGCTTTGCATGTCTGTTTCAAATGAGTCAATCTTTTGTAACCTTGCGCATTATAAAATTTATGAATCTGGTTGATTGTTTTGTCCAAATACTCAGATACAATTCTGTGATTGGTTTCTTCGTCGATGAGTTTTTCAAAAGCATGCTTGATTACAAGTTCCAATCTATGTGACATGCAGTGTACACTAAAGATTGGTTTGGAAGACCAATCTTTTAGATATTTTAATATTCCAGTATGCTTTCCTGTATTGGTTGAATCACCATCGGACGAAAATCCAATTAAATTTTTGTTCATGTATGATATAAAATCGGTTCTCTTTTCCGATTCCCAAGCGCTCGTTATGGCTTGGAAACCACCAATTCCAGTTCCGGCACTTAGTTCTATTAATTTATAGAAATAAATAACTGGTCTGTCTGATTCAATGGTTTGGAAGTATACTATTTTAAAGTGTACGTTTCCAGCATCGGTGGAATCGTCAATGATAATGGATATTGGCATTTCATTTTGAATTAAACTATTAATCAACGTGTCATGCATATATGCACTTATATCAGCTGTTATTTTAGTGCATGCAGTGCGATCAAAATGATGCCATCCCATGCTAAGACCATTTAATTGTTGTAACGAAATCAGAGCAGCGTGATCCGAAAAAGGTAAACTAAGTTTGTTAATAACAAAAACAGTTCTTATAATACGTGCCGTAACTTCTAAATAGTTGTTATCTTTAGTTTCTTCGGCCTCCTCACCTTGTAAAAAGCTTGTACGTTGTTTTTTCGCTGCGTCTTGTTGTAATTTACTGATGACATTTGCGTGTGCCTTAGACTTGGCATGTTCGCTCAGCGTCTCTTGATTCTTTTTTTTAGTATCGAAAAGCACACCATTTTCAAAGGCAACGGCGGGTTTTCGGTTTTTTGGAAAACCCATGCGATCATAATATTTGTAGCACAATTTGCATCTGTATCTGGCATCTTGAGGTTGGTCTGGTGTTGTGTTGAATATGGTTTTCAGAATGGATATTTTACAGTAAATGGCTTACTCAAAATGGCTATCATCTTCCCACTCGAAATTCTCTTGATAGTTGAATGTATCGCTCAGCATTCTTTTCCTTTTATTTTGTCTATCCAGCTCATCTGCAATATTCCCTACGTCTGATCCCAAATCCAACGATGTGCATTCATTGTCTTTTGCATTTTGTGTTTCCATCACAATTTGGTTTTCAATTAAGTTATCCGATAAGTGTTCATATGATGAAGAGTCAAAACTGGCCGTGCACTGCGGATTATCAATTTGCCCAAAAACCATTTCCTCATTATTCATTTCGAGATTTTCCTCATCGAACGGTTTATTTGATAGTGAATCTGTTAGTTGTGGAATGTGACTTTCAAGTAAAAAATTCACACCCGAACAATCGTTCTCCGTTCCGGGTGTTGCCGTTCCCAATTTAAATTTGTCTGGTACGAATGTATTTTTGTCAAAAGAACAGCGATTTAATGTACGGTCTATTTGTGCATTGTCAAACTCTCTCAAAATGTAGGCTTTGTTCGAATATTCTGGATATAAATCGGTATAAATTTCACAATGTTCGTATGGCGCTTTTCTTGTATACACTGACATGTCTACTAAATTCGTTTTTATTAAACTCTTTATTGTATCATCGATTTTCAAAGTTGGGTGCTTGGAATTTATTACGATTTCGGGAATACCATCTTTTTTATACAAAATGGCAATGGCATGGACATTTTTTTCATTTTTGGACAAAAACATATTCAAAGACGCGACATTTCCGGTAAATTTATTTCGATATGATACAAATACACTTTTTGTGTCCAAGTCTTTGTTCGGTACATCATCACTACCTACCGTGAACAATTTTGTTTCAACGTTGAACTTACAATTCCAGAGATTTATCACTAGATCAATCGAAATTCTCTGAGGATTTGATGTCGTAGATATGCCTATTATTTTGTATCCTTGTAATGATAGGCTTTTCGGATTATGTGAGTCACACACCAATCTCAACTCAATAAAGTCACTTTTTTTCAAATTTTCAAAATTGCCAGTGTTAATTTCGTTTATAACCACAGCACAATTATCTTCACCGAGGACGGTTGTTACACCAAACCAGAGAATAAAAAAAAAATCCAAACGCATTTTGCACTTCTTGAATAGTTTTCGGTAGTTAAGTTTTACGATTAAATTGACTACACTTGTATTTAGGCAACCACGCTTTCGATTTGATTGAGAACGAATGAAATTCATTATCATTTTCAATAATGTACACAGTCTCAAAAATTATATGTTTATAAAACCGGCCAGAAAATGAAATAAACAAATGAAAACACTTTTGTGATGAATATGCACAAAAGCGCATATTTACAAAAAATGTAAAGATAAATAGACTTTTGGGGGGGGGAATCCGGACGTGATAAAATTTTGGGGGGGGGGGGTAAAGTTAGGGGGGGAAATCCGGACGTGACCAAGCTAGGTGGGGGGTAAAACCCTGAATCCCCCCCCAGTGCGCACCTCTGAATTTAATTGCTTTCTCAACATCATGTGCGCCACTGCTTACGTCATCCATGTATGAATCATTTTTAATAATTTTACAAGCTTCTGGAAATATATCTGATTCATTGTTCAAATGATGCTGTATAGTTGAAACTGCCAAAAAAGGTGAACTATTTAAACCGAAAATAACTGTGGTTAAACAGTAGTCTTCCATTGGTTTACTTGAATCATCGCGCCAAACTAACTTTTGAAAGACTTGATCTTCTTCTCGAATTCTGACTTGTAAGTACATTTTTTCAATGTCAGCTGTGAATGCTATTTGATTTGTTCTAAATCTTACTAAAATGTTGAAAAGATTCTCCTGTAGTTTTGAGCCGGTTATCAATAAATCGTGTAATGACACACCACTTGTTGTCTTTCTGCTGCCATCCAAAACTGGTCTTACTTTTGTGGTTGTGCTATCTTTAAACACTGGGTGATGTGGAAGATAACAATGTGGTTTCGAAGTATCATTAGAACATTTTTTCATAAAACCTTTGCTAATTAATTCGTTTATATATGCTTTTTATGCTGCTCCCAATTCAGGATTTTTTGCAAATTTTTTCTCTATTTGATACATTTGTGCCAAAGCCATACGTCGTGAGTCGCCTAATAAACTTGGATTTCCCTTAAAAGGTAACGAAACAACATACACTCCATCATTATCTCGTTTAATTGTGTTGAAGAAATGATCCACACAGTTTTGCTCATCCGAAGTAAACTTTGATTCACCAGGTATCTCTTCTATCTCCCAAAACCGTTGTAAATTCTCATCAATATTGTCACGTGTGGTCGCGAAACATAATGATTCATCCAATCTGATATGTTTTTTGTTTACCGGACCTGACACCAGCCAACCAAATTCTGTTTCTTGTAACACAATAGAATTATCTGTAGACTTTATAACACCATACATAATGAATTCACTGTAAACATCCGCACCCAAAATCATATCGATTGGTGATGTTTTATTAAAATGTGGATCTGCTAAAATTAGCTCATCTAAATTTTCATATTTTATCAATTGCTTATCAAAATCGTGATTTGGTAAACATGTTGTTAATTTACTCATTACAACTGCTGCGACATCAACCTTGAAAGAACTTGGGTAACGTGATCTAATTTCAAATATAGCAACATATTTCGCAGATTCCACACTGCCAGCTATTCCCGTAATGTTGATGTTAGTCTTGACCTTGTTTAATTCTAGCTTGTTTGTTATTTTTTCACTAATAAATGAAGTCATTGAGCCCTGGTCAATTAGAGCACGTATGTTAACGAAAAAACCCTCTTGTGTTTTGATTTTTATAACAGCAGTAGCTAATAATGTTTGTGAATCAGCTGTAGACGTTGCACAAAAAACACTATCGTCATCATTAATTGTTGCAATAAATGATTTCTTCTCTTTTGATCCATTTTTTTCGTATGATTTATTGTCTCTGATTTCAATATGAAGCAAACCGTTGTGTTTTTTGTTACATTGTGGACACATTTTTTTCATTCGACACTCATTTATATTGTGTTTTGGACGTAAACACAAAAAACACAATGTTTTTTGCTTGACAAAGTCAATTCTTTCTTTAACTGAAAGAGATTTGAATTTCGCACATAGATAAATTGAATGTAATTCGCTACAACAAATACATTTTTCACCATGATGTTTGTTGGTGTTTTCTTGACGCTTGTTATTGTTTTTATTTTTCGCTGTGCCTTCAATCGCTTGTAAAACCAGACATCTTTTATGCAAAAAATTCAAATATTCGTCTAATTTCTGCTCTTGTGATGGGTCATCCAATGACTGCTCGTAAATTTTTCTGGCTTTACTTGGTAGTTTTTTCATCGCTAAATACAGAAGTACTTGTTCACTTGGTGTATCATGCAGTAATTCCAAACTTTCTTTTAATTTGTCATAATAATCCAACATACTTGACGCCGTTTCGTATTTAATTTCTGGCAAATCAGTAATAACTCTAAATGTGCATCGCGAATAACACGTTTATTTTCATATCTGCTTGTAAGTAATTTCCATGCTGCTTCAAATTGCCCGTCAACAATATTCATGTTTGCAATTAAATTTGCTGCTTCACCTCGAACTGTAGTTTTTAAATACTGCATCTTCTGTATGTTTGATAGATTGCTGTTATTGATTATCATCGAAGTAAAAAGACCGCTATATGTAGGCCATGATTTAATTGCGCCAGAAAAAGATGGAATTTCTAATGGTTTTAATTTTAGTGATACTGATTCTGCATGATCATTCTTAGCTTTTTCCATTATCTGACGATATCGTAAAATTAACACGTCATAAATTTCTTCATATTGCTTTGCTTCGTCGCCTAGCATAAAGCTAACTTCTTCTAAGCTATCCACAATATCATTTCTAATTTTTTCCACGTCTTTGATTGCCAAACTTGCTCTTTTATTCATATTTTCTGTTATATATTCTTCGATGATTGTAAGCTCTCTACTCTAGCGAAAAACTTTGCTTTGTTGTTGAAACGATTGACTGTTTCATCAATTTTTTCTTGTAATTCAAAATGTTTAAGAGCATGTTTTGGGTAACGTATTATACCAGGCTTTTTATAAGTTTCAGCGTTATCTTCTTCATTTTCATCTGATTGCTCATCAATTTTATTACTTGTACCTGGTTCAGAAAATTCAGGTGAATCTTATCTATATGTATAGATAATATTCCGAAATTATTACATCGACTGTACTAAAATTACAAGTGCTTTTTTAGTACAGAAATTTTAGTTTTTAGAATTAAAAACGAAATATATCAAAAATTTGAACTCAATTTGTACTTTCTGAATGTACTAATTTTTTTTGGGAAATGTACTAAAAAGCAAAAAAAATTAGTACACTTTTTAGAACTTTGATTACATATTCAGAATCTGCACAATTTTTGAAATTTTTCTGTATAAAAAAATTCACAAACTTATTTCATGGACTTTAGTAAAACCACAACTGTTTTTTAGTTGACACAATTACGAATAATATACTAATAAAAAAAATTCTGTGCGCGA